ACAAATACATTCGTTTTCCGGTGCTCGACTGGTAATTGAGAATACCGAAGTTATTAAACTGCTTTCCCTGGGAGGCTCGAAAAGAAGCCGGCCTCTCGCATCGGGTCCTATTTCAGCGAGGCTCCCGGGCGGGACTGATTGTCCCTTATACGACAGATAAACGTGAATTTATCGCGCCGGTTTCGGCCCCGGGAGTTGGATTTGCGGTTCTTCGCACCTATATTATCGGCAAGTGAGCAGCCGGTCGATCTTTAGCCGCGGCGGGGTGCCCCTCACGGAAATTTATCGTGTCGAGGGCCCGCGCGACAGTTGGATTTGTGGGTTTCAGCGAAACGGTTAGCTTCGCCTCGTTTTCTCGTCTGGCGACTGTTACATGGAGGGTTCCACGTTACTTCGCCCGCTACTCCTCGATCCTTCGTGCACGACGCGCCTGTAATTCTCTTCGGGGATTGATAAGCGATTGGACACAGTGTTCTCAAGTGGTCCCGGAAGCTTCGATGGGTCTCGAACTGATCCGCGATTGGGAGGGTAATTTTTTTGACGATGAGGGTTCGTAAGTAAGTTGACGAAGTCATGTGTATACTTTAACTCTTGTTTTGTAATAGATATCATTGTTAAGATGTTGTTGAATTTTAGGGGTTGATTTTATTCTTAAGTTGAGCTGTGTTAAACCTAGAATTTCCTCATTAAAATTCTGTTTTTGCTAAAAATATATCTCTTTTTCTTTTGAAAAAAATAGACATTATTAAATTTGAAGAGTTGGAATTTCAAAAGTTGAAATTTGAAGAGTTAGAATTTCAAAAGTTGAAGCTTCAAGAATTGAAATACAATAACTTCTATATTTCACCTCTACCAGTTACTGCCACCTCCAAAATTCAATAAAACTCTCAAAATTCCAATGTTGAAATCCGGCTCTCAGAAAATTCCAAAAATTCAAAACCTCCTTCCGATCCTATAAAAACCCTTCGACACCTCCAAGGAAACCTCAAAAACTCAATTTCAACCCCCGAAACACCGGACCATTCGCTGGTTCGCTTCGTCGAACAGAACCAACACGACTGAACGCGCTTGTGAAAGGAACAACAGCCGGAGCCATCTTGGGGACCTCGAAGTTCGAAACTGTGTCGATTCCCGGCGCATCCATTCAGTCCGCGCCACGTGTCACGGCGTGTCGGACATCGGGACAAAGTAAAACAGCCAGGAGACGTAGACAGATAGCCGCGTTATGCGAACGGTGGATGCACCGAGGAAGGCAAAGGGGTAGACGGGGAGTCGTCCCGATGGATCGGTTAGATGCCACGGCGTCCGACCCATTTCCCGACAATGGCCGACCCGTTTATTATTAGATGCGCGGTCCGAGATACGGGAGCCTGTCGAGAGCCACCGGAATAAAGAGGACACGCGAGCCATTCGTATCGCGTTTGACGCTTCGAAGCCTAGACTGGCTGCAACGTAGCAAAGCGTCGCTTGCCAAAGGATAGGGCTGCAGCCAGATGCGAATGGATCGCATTCTAACCAACCGGCTGGCTGCGTGATTTCAATGATTCAAGGGAGCTGCTGGCAGACCAACTACCCGGCTATTCATTTTCCGATTCAGTTCCGCGATTAGGACTCGCTGAAGGCTGGCGAGTTGGGAATCTGATTGTTTGAGATTGTGGATGGGAATGCAAGTTTTCGGGTGATTGGGGGTATTGTGGTTATTGTTGGGTTTTTGTAGATGGTGATAGGTATTTATGCACTTATGTATTTGATGTAAGGTTGTGGAGTGAAGAGGGAGTTTTTGGGTTTATGAGATTTGCAGTGCAAGGAATACAAATATGTTGGTTTCATGGTGTTCAAATATTCTGTGGAATTGATTGATTGTTGCTTGTTTCTTTGAGGTTGTTAGTGAAGAAATTTGAATTGTGAATATTTTCAAGTGTTGGATAACGAATTTTGGGTTGGCGAAGGTAGATGTATGAGATAAATATAATATGACATGATATTATATAATATTTTAGAGTTTATTAGGATTTACTATAATTACTTCAATTCCAATATCAATTTAAATTTCAATTGTACATTAATAACAACTGACGATTCCAAAAGATAACTTGCAATGGATTCAACCATTATATTCGAATCATCGTCAGTGATGCGTAGTTAGATAACACAAGGGACAGTAGGATATGCTCGTTTCGGCCATTGTTGTCTGCCAACTCTTTGGAAAGAGCTTAACAGGCCCTCCGCACTGTTCTTGCTTCCTTCCTTCGGTTTCCGCGCGACGGATCCTTCGACAAGTCCGTACTCAGACTGGACTAGTTACGAAAGTTCGACGTCAGTGCACGGTTCACGGATCACCGGCTCGAACCCAGGTATTGACGTGATAATTCTGGGACGTTGAAGACGGTTTTCAACGTTAACTGAGCGGATTTTGGTGTTCGTTAGGGATAGTTTTGTGAATTAGTTTGGGTTGTTACGAATTGAACGTTAGGATTAAGGCTTACTGCTATATTGGAGGTACCATTTGGATTTTAGAACGTAATTATCGAGGTTTCTGGTCTTTGGTTTAATTTTTGTAACTGAATGTTCAACGATGTTTATAGTATTGATAATGATTATAATAATATTTTTTGACGATATTGATAACAATTACATTCATATGATTGATATTGCATAATATTTTTTATCCTCAGAATATTTATTAATTTATCTGAGATTTTGGAAAATGATCAAGTGTTAATTATCAACGAAAATCGTCGGAATTCTCACAGAATACCTTTATAATGATTGTGCAATTGTATCGAAACTGCACTTTGATGAAATTCCGATAAAATACAAGTGGAATTCGAGGTAAACAAGAACCGAATTCGAATCGAATACTGGGTTAATGGAGATCAATATTTCCAGAAAAGTTCAATAACCTAGAAGTGGAATTCCGAGTGAACACTAAGGGAATCTTAATAGAATTTCGGCGTAGTAAATTACTCAGTATTAATAGCACAATTATTGTGGAGAATTCCAATGGTATAATCCATTCTCAGACTACTGAGTACATGACGATATCATTTCACAGATCAGTTACTCTCAGGTAATTAATCTCTCGTAATATTCTATATTCATTATTAAGTTCCAAGTTCAAATTTCCCCTTTCAAGTGAATGTTTGATCATGATTAGAATGTTCCAATTGAAATTCTATTTCTCTTAAAAAAGATTTATTTTTAAAATTTCTTAATTCTCATCTTGAAAATATGAAATTTTCTAATTTCCACTTTAAAAATTAAACTTCATCCCTTCAACAAAATTCACCTTCGTATGCAATAACTCAGCCCCAACGAAATTAGCACTCCATCCACCTTAACACTACCACAACCCCAGAAATAAATATAATAAATATAAATATAAGTATAATAAATTATAATTAATACTTCAATTTTATTTCCTTTAAAATAATCAATTCCTTCGACTCCTCAACATTATAGAATTTCAAAGTCTGATTTCACTCCTCCAACAAACCTTACGAAAACTTCCTCACCGGATAACTCACTTCTACCAAAACCAACCTACATCCTCCCCCAAAAAGTTACTCCCACAGAACCACACGACCTGAAACCCCAGAAAAATGGCGGAAGTTACGGCACAGCCACGCCGCGGAAATTCGTCGGTAAAATCGAGTAAGCACATTTGCGTGCATTATGCATTCGGGGGAAAAGGGGTTGCAACCAGCAAACAGCTGCGCGTGCGGGTACGTGTTTACCGAAGACGGATGCGAAAGACGCGCGAGAGGGGTGTAAACCGTCGGCAAACACGTTCGTTCGACAGAAAAGTATGTCATAAGCGAAATTCCGTTTGAGTTTGTTAGGCGTCCACCCGCCCACGCTGGAGTGCTTCCGGTCGGAAATTCTTAAAATGCACGGTACGCCGAGCACACTCACCCCTGTACCTGCTCGCTCCTTCAAACGGTGGCCCTAGCTAGCTGTCTTCGGATTCCGCCCTCTACCCGTCTCGGATTCCTTCGCCCTGCGCACCTGAAACAAACGTGGAGATATTACCTTTTGATATTTCTCGCTAGAGGGAAGGGGACGGAGAAGACAGGGGATGAAACTCGCAGGCTTTTGAGCTGGAGGATGCGGTTGAAGTTGCTGGATGCTTGACATTTTTTTAAGGGTTGTGGAGAATTAAAGTGTATCGCGTTTGTAGAACTGTAGACCCTTGATTTATGGGATTGCATTTTGGAGATTTATGAAGCGGATTTTTGTTTTCTTTTGATGTATTTGGAATTATGGAAAGTGAAATTTGGAGTTGAGATTTTGTAGGGGTGTTTTTT